GTGATTTACATTAGACCCCAACTACTTTCTGTAAAACTTCACTGTTATTCTTCACCATGTGTTTTATAGGATATTCCAAGAGAATAGGGGTAAATCTGTTCTACTGCCTTGTTGTCTTGTAAAATTGTGCTAATAAGAACATTAACTCGAGGGATGAGGAGGCGGGTCCCAGGCACATATTACAGCTCACCAGTAGCCACAGACTGATTTAGCAAGACCACAAATAACCTCAGTAGCAGCCAGCACCATCAGCTGGGGAAAGGCAAATGAGACAAGGACAAAGGTGGGAACAGAGGGAACTCTGCGGCCCGGTGGCTTTACCCACGGACTGGCCGTTCCCCCCCAAGCCAAGGAACAACATCCCGAGCGAGACAGCGGGATGGCAGCACCTCTGCCTTCCTCCTGCCCTCACATCTGTTCGTCACACCAGCTTGGCTTTGCTGGGTAACACGGGATGGCGCTGATGTGGTCACCTCAGCATGAAGAAAAGAACGGTTCAACCAAGCAGTTTGAAGGGAACCCAGACACTAAAATCTGTTTAATGCTTGTTGATTTCATGCCCAATAACAAATTAATTCATCCAAAATAAAATCTGCGAGTGGCAATCTGTAACCAAGAGCAAAGTCTTACTGTACTGAATGTCTAGTTCTGGACAGTCCTCAAGTTAGAGGAAGCTGATATGTTACTGTAAAACAAAAACTGAACACAGGGAGTGTCTTTGCAGGTGTTATCTTACTTACATCTTTCCAGCTGCTATTGTCATCTGTCTCCCAGGTGTTCCTGGTGTACCAGGGAAGCCCTCCTTTTAAAAAGTGAGCGCTTTTATTTTCGTTCCTTTCCAGCAGCCGTAGCAAATATTTTGAGATTTCTTCCCACTGCAGATAGTCTTCCAGCTGCTTGGCATTGTCAGGTAATGCTGAAAATGGTGTTTTGTTTTCTTCTTCAAAACCATAAGGAAAATCTCCAGTGCTCTTTTTTCCCATTAAATGTCCTGTAACAACAATGACAGTAGCACAAAATTAACCAAAACGGGTAAAGATTTGATTGTTCAAATATCGGCTGGACTTTGCTACTGATTGATGGAAGGGAAGGGCAGGAGCTAGAAGATGTCAAAATTGAAGCACTACTGGGACTGCAGATTTTATCACAGTGTCGCACACAATTAATTTCTTCTGTCTCTTGTGCTGCCTTGTCAGAGAAAACGTCGCCGAGAACGGGGCAGCGACAACCAAGCACTTTGCTCGGGGCTACGGAGACGCACTTGGTAATATTTGCTGGAATAAGAAGCGGACTGAGAAGCTGTAGGTTTTAGACTTACCCTACCTGGACACCGGACGCGGGAACTCTGCGTTCCAGCGCCTTCCCAGGAGCGAAACCGGACTTACCCACAGCCCAGTGGCTGCCGCGGGGGTAGATCTTGGTGAGCGCGGGGGTCCCGCCGGGCTGCAGGGGCGCCGCTCCGCCCTGCGCCGCCAGCAGCGCCAGCGCCAGCAGCGGGAGCGCCCCGGGCCGCCGCGGGCCGCCCCCCATCCTGCCCTGCCGCCGCCGGGGCCGCCGGGGGTGCTGTCGGGGGTGCTGTCGGGGGTGCTGTCGGTGCTGCTGCCGCCGGTGGTGCCGCCCGGCTGCGGCTCCGTCCGGGCGAGGCGCTGCCGCCGCCGCCGCCGCCGCCGCCCATTTATACGGAGCCGGGACGGGCGCGAGCGGAGCTCCCGCGCTGACGCCTCCTCACGGGGCCGCGGCAGCCCCGGCCCCCGCCCGCTCCCGGCCCCCGCCCGCTCCCCGCCCCGGCCGCTCCCGCGGGGGTGCGAGGCCGCGCTCGGAACACGGACACGGACCGCGAGTCGGTGCCCCCGCTCCGGCCGCCGGGGGTCGGGGGGCGGGCCCGGGGCACCTCGGGGCGGCGGGACGGTGCCGACGGCAGCGGGACCGTGTGCGGGGCGGCCACGGGGACCGCACCGGGGCCGGCGAGGGGACCCGGGGGCTGCGACGGGCGCGGGACAGCGGGCGAGGGACCGGGCCGGGGTCACCCTCCGCGCCGTGTGGGCCTCGGCTCGCCTGCACTTGGGGCAAAGTGTCTCACTGTCCAAACAGAAAATCTCGCGCCAAAAGTTTATTTTAGTTCCCAGTCTCGGGTGAATTTCCTGTCACGAGTGACAGTACCGTGGACACAGGCTTGCAAGACTTTCTGCTTTCCTCGGACAGGGACCTGTAAACTTTCCAGCACCCTGAAGCACCTGGAACTGGCCAACCTTGTAGTAGTTAATGGATGAAAAGGTTTCCATCCCGAAGAGGCAGTGCAGAGAAAGGATGGATGAGTCATGGAAGGAGACAGTATATCCCTGTAAGAGCCATAAAGTTGAACACTTAAATACACACTCGGCCTCAGGCACGTCAGTGGTTCCACTGGAGTGAAGGTGGGTGAGTAGTGATGGGATATCAAATCCTGATGTGCTGTTTGCCCCTCAGGAGAACAACAGGGACAGGATGGAGTCATGTGGAATGGGCGCAGTTTATGTGATGATTTTGCTCTCTGGAGAACTATGCCAGGAGCTGGGATACCCAGTGAACAGAGCTGCCTGTAAGGAACCTGCCAGATCCTCTGGCTAACCCCACATGGCTGGAGCTGAACTACACCCAACGGTAGCTCCCAGGGATGTGAATTAACATAATTTCCGGGCAAACTCTAGTACAATCCCTTTTGAAGTCAATTGTGTATCCTCTTGTATGAGCTAATTTGTTCCCTTGTTTAGTCACAGTTTATTGCATCTTCTTTTACTGATTAATGTGATTCATTCTTTTATTTTGGTTATTAATTATGCATTCCTGCTTAATTTACAGTAGTATTCTCATGCCTCAATCACGAGTTTTGCTGTGCAGTACAGCTACAGACATGTGCTCTGTGCTGAGTGACAGCTGATCAAATAAAATATTGCTGTCCATGGGAAGTTCTAATTGTTTGGTGCAATTCAAGGCAGGAAATCCAAAAATTCAGGAGACTGTCCATTTTCAGAAACCAAAACCAAACCCAAGCAAACATGAATTCTTACTCAGTTCCTTATTGCCCAGTAGTGCCAAGTCTCTTTTACTGCAAACACTACACAAACAAATAAACCTTCCTCACATGTTGTATATGTGCCTTCATACATTTCATGTGTTACAGGCTACGCCTTCACATTCATTCTCATTTTGCACTGCTTTGAGCTCCTTTCATTAGTAGAGGCTGTCAAGGCTCCATGGTTTGGACCCCTGTGATCATCAGGTTATCTGGGTGCTGGGCAGTCATGTCTGGACAGGCAGGACAGCAGGGATGTGCCCAAAGAACGTGCTTTCTCCTTGGACTGGGTACCTCTCCCTCAGCCCAGCTGGGGATCTAGCCCACTCTCTGATTCAGCATTTCTTTATTTACTTGTTCATAAGGATAAAAAAACATAATATGGATTTATTCTAATTATTATTTTTATTAATCTTTTCAGAAAAATAATAATTTGATACGATAGAGAAATAGTATTCTGGACACTGCAACAGAAAAGGATTCAGGTACAATAAAAGGATGTTATCAGCTGAGACCGATTCACTCATCTGAGACAATCTTTCTTAAAAAAGAAGCCTGATAACACAAATTTGTGTTTGAACATCAAGAAACAGCTCTCTCCATTTCGAAATACCTTTCTGCTTTTCATACATCCCACAGCAAAGCGCACTGTTGTGCTCCAAGGCAGGAAAACACTAATGGTGTTTAAATGCTATTACCACGACAGCACTTTAATTTGCTTCCTTTACATTTCAGACAACTTATCATTGTTCTATCAGCAAAGCAGATTCTATGGAAATGAAAAGGGCTAAAAGAAAAATGGTGTGCCTTTCATCGCCTCCTTTGTAGCGACGCTGGAGTCGGACACAGCCAGGATGTATGGACAGAACAAACACTGGTCTGAGCGTATCAGCCACGTAATAACAGGGCACAATCGCTGAGGAATACTCTGTAAATGTTGAAGATGCTGAATAGACTAATCTCCAGCCCTCCCAACCCGCACCCAGGGCAGGCGTTCTGCAAACACCCGGAAAATCAACTCACTGCAGCAACAGCTCCCTGAAGAACCGAAGACATTTTTCAGAAAAGAGCTCCACAGCTTTACAGAGGCTGAATAATATGAAATAATAAACATTTATTTAATAAGGCCCAGTGTAAGACAGTTGATACTGTTCGTGCTGCATTTTGGGAAGCCCTAGACGGCTGAAGCTGAACCAAAGGGGCTGCTCAGTGCATATTTAATGTGTGCCAGTGTGCTGCATCAGCCAGCCCAGTTTGGGTTGTACAGGTTCTGTGGTGGAGGGGTTCAATAACTGGAGAATTAAAATGGGAAGTGTTTATGGACATGCCTGTGGAGCAGAACAGCCTAGAGTGACCATCAGCCCCACTGCCTGACCCCCTCCAGGCTGACCAAAAGTTCCAGGGCATTGTCCAAAGGCCCCTGGAACACTGACCAGGGCATCAGCCTCCTCTGCAGGGAGCCTGTTCCAGTCTGACCACCCTCCCAGGAAGGAAATGCAACCTAAGGTGCAGTCTGACTGTGATGACACACTTCCAGGAAGACTGCATTAAGGATACCTACATTATTCTGACATGCCATTTACTATACTCAATTTTATTTCTACACAATTTGACACAAAAAAAGTAATTTTTATAATACAGTTGGACATGAAAACTGCTTAGTGGGATACAAAAGAAGTAATATTACTTGAAAAAATTCAGCAGTTGTCTGCTGAGCATGAGCTGTCACAACAGAAAAGGTGCCATTATTGTATAATAGAGTATTTTTGTAGAGATAAGGGATTACAGAAGAAACAAAACTCCAGAGGAAAAGAGCATCACGCTGTTCCTTATCAAAGCTACAAAAACAAAGCCAGGGAGGAAAACAAGTTCTGCTTTGTTGAAGGTACAACACTGACAATTGAAGAGAAGAGAAAAATATAGAATTTCACAAAACGACAGTTTCAGGTAGATTTTTAAATGAAAAATCAATTTTATTTTAATTTTATTTATTTAACACTACTCAGGTGTTACATGATAGGAGAGAATAACGTGTTCTCCAAACTGGCACAGGAGTTATGGTTTACCCTTCCTGCCAATACCCCTGGAGTGTACTACTGTGCTATTCATTCAGTACTTTACAAGTGCTATTAAAGCCCCATAAAACCTTTTGGTTGGGTTTGTTTAACACCTAGGAACACAAAAGGCATAATGGTCAACAGCCTGAATTCTAGAAACTTAGCAGTCCCTAAATAAGAGGCCTCTAGAAATCAGGCCATCAGGGTCTCTGTCCCTACTCCATGAAGAAGGTTTGAAATGCAGGGGAAGAGCTCCAAGTCCCCGTTGCTCAGTTCCCAATGGGAGAGAAAGCCCCTTCCTTGGCAGTTTTTGTCACCACATCTAGCCAACCTTCCTCAGACTGACCAAACCCCTGCCACTCACCACCTGTTCCCACCCAGATGCCACGTCCTCACAGGCACTGATAAATCCAGTGTGGGGGGTGGAGAAAAGAGGGCACTGACAGATTAAAAATAATCAAGGAAAAAGCCCCAAACAAAAAGGATGGAGAAAGTGGGTTCAGATGCAGGACCATTCAAGAGAAAATGACCGGGCACACCAGGGAGAGCCCGTGGCTGCTTTAGGACATGACAGTGTCTTCCAGCCCAGGGCCAGGCTGACTGAGAGCAGTGTCTGTTGAAGGCAGGAAATATGCCATTTCATCATTAACCAACAGCCAACAGCTTCACTCATTAGTCCTAGTTTATTTAGACAAGACAAAAGCTTGCACAGCTTTGTAACTGTTTACAGAAACGAAACCATCTGAAATATATATTAGTTTTTTTTTCCCCCTGTACATTCAGCTTTGTCCTTGGAAAGCTGCCTGATTTTAGGACTCCCGTTTCAGCAGTACATAGGCTCCCATCACTGCCAGGAGAGCATACTGCAAAAAACCAGAGAACACACACTCGTTACACTTGCTCTTCACAGAAGCTCCGAAAGCACAAACTGTTCAAAGGGTGCCCTCTCCAACACCACACCTCCCTCAGGAGCCCACAGGTACAGAGCTCTGGCCCTCCAAAACTGCACGAAGATTTTAAAGGGATCAAACTCATCACAAACAGGTGTCACAACTGCGTGCACTTAACGAACCAAACTCTTACAAATGACGTGTTTTCGGCCCAGCACAAATACCAAGTTCCAGTGGGTGACAGACAGGCTAAAGCACACATGGAAACACAGCTCACAGGACATCAGGGACCAAAGCACAGAAACAAATTTATTAACCAGGATGCTTAGAGGCAACATTCTTATTGTCTTTACTTGTTATTTTACCAATGCAAGTATTCGAAATGTCTGTATACATACCTTAAATTTTGGATAGTCATTCATGATTATAGTTACCATTCCAACATAGGGCAAAAACCTAGAATTGACAAAACATTGACAAAATGTGAAATGAGCCCTCAAATATTACATGGAAATGTTTCAGTGTTACTCAGCCTGCAACATTTCAGTGCAAGCCCATCATTTACACCTGGCACTAATGCATACCTGAACAGGAAATTAAATTCATTAGTTTTCCTTAGGTAAAACTTCAATCAAGTTATCTCTGAAAAATCTGAAGAAATTTTATCTCAAGTGAGGAAGGGGACAAAGTCCAAAGCTCAAACCTTGCATAAAATTCCTGTGGAATGCTGAAACAATTTCCCAGGAATTTCCAGCGATTACAAAGATAAGTTGGTTAATTTTGTATTTACAGAAGAACTATTTGTTAGATGTCCCTTTTTCCCCCCCAGATATTAATTTCCACTCCCACATCAGGGAGAGGACCACAGGAAGGAACGTTTCCAGTGTGGGGGTTTTTTTTAATTACAATTTTTTAAAAGAAATTAAAAAAATACCACATCAGATCTAGTTTGTATTACATTGGAACTGATTCAAGAAGTAAATTTTTTTTCTATTTGATTATAAAGTACATTTTAAATCACTTACCCTCTTGCTCTTCCAACAACATCTTTCTTCTCTAACCAGTTCTGACCTTCTTTGTACAAGCCTCTATCATCAACTTCATTATTATCACCTTTAGTCAGAAATTTGATGTTCCCATTTCCTCTAGAAGGCAATGAGGTGATAAACTAAATACCACTTAATTTAAAAACCTTAATTAACATCTACAAAGCACAATGAGGATGAAAAGTACTACAAGATTAGATAACAATGTTTGCTTTCAGTCCTGCTTATCGAACAAACACCATTAAACCATTAACATTACAGATTTTATTGACTATATCTATCAGGAGGTATTAACAAGAAATGGTTTTAAAACACTCCCAGATTGTCATTTGATGTAAGCAGTTACACACTGGATATGAAAGGGATGTTGTCCACCCAGGCACATAACCTGGTTTTGCTGAAGTACTAATATCAAGAAACAAGGAGTTTTCATGATGATAAATTAGGTAATAAATAGATAAAATAGGCAATTCTTGGATACACATATTTGTTTCAAAAAATAACTGAAGAACAGATGTTACTCAAGAAACAAACACCTTCAGTTCACTTCCTGGGGAGCAAATATGTCAGTGCTTGCCATCTCCAGCTTAGCTTTTCACTGGGCAGAACTAGAAGCAAAATTGCCTCTGTTGTGCTTCAGAAGGAACAGTTTATCATTGCAGGCATATGCAATAAAGGCAAACCCCAGAACTCACTCTGCTGCTTTCCAGCCTGAATTGTTGCTGGCAGTGTGACTAACAGACACAAGAAGAATAAGAATCTATTCTTGTATTCCAGTCAAATCTGGAAAACTTCAGTTAGCTAAGATTATATACTCATCAGGCTGCACCTCCAGTTCTGACTCTGAATCCTCACCTTCCTTCAGAGATTTGCTCTTAGAAGCAGCTGTTTCTCACAACCAAAACCCCACTCCTATAACTGCCAGTGCAGAAGTGGGCTCTGCTGCCATACACATTCCTGCTGCCAACAGTAACTCCTATGGCTTGTGCCACAGGGTTCCTCTGAATTTCCTTAGTTTCTCATAAACTGCTGTCAAACTTATACTGCAACTGAAAATCCCAGGGAAAGAAAGTATCTTTAGAAACAAGGAAAAGGACAAGTTGCATTACTTTTCGTGTACTTTGATTACTCTGTGAACTATTGGAATGTCTCTGCCTTCAACTTTAAAAACAACTATTTCACCAGCTCTGATTGGGTCATCGTGGAAATTCGTTAGGAACAGCAGGTCTCCCCTGTGAAAAGCTGGTTCCATGCTGCCACTACAAACAACAAGAAAGAAAGAGTTTCATGGTAAATGAAAGAAGAACCATGAAATCAAAGAATATTTAGTTCTTACAGATAAACTCACAATTTAAACTGCAATCTGTAGCTTCACCAATTCAGTAACACAGTCATGTAACACAACCCAAATCCCAGTAAGCAATCTGTAGTAGTTTATCCATCCAGTGAAGGAACCTGGACATTTCAAAGGTCTCACACAGTTACTGCTCCTACAAACCTCAGCTGAAACTGGGCCATGGTTACAGCAGGGGCCTTTGCTCAGGGGCCAAAACAGAGTTAGAAGACAGTAAGTGTTCGAGTACTTCTTTAAGTAGGTGGAATTTAAAATTCCAAATGTATCCAAGGGGAAAGGGGAAGAGGCAAAGGGCAGAACGATACCTGGACTTGAACCAGAAAGCCTGTACAGTGACTCACCTGAGCACCACGACAATGGGGCTCTCACTGCCCGTGACGACGATGAGCCCTTTCCAGATCATAAGGGCAGAAGACACTATCATAGCAAAATTTAGGACTTGGTAATACAGCTGTGCGAAACAAGAAAAGGATTTTTTAGTTACTGTATTGAAATTAGAAGAAGAACATAGAAACTCAGCGCACAGAGTCCAGGCACGTGGGCTTCACGGTAAAATCCTATTCCAGTGCGAGTCTCATGGCACAGATTGCCATGTCAGAATTCATCATACTGCAGCATAAACCCTGAATCCACCGTGTGCCTCAATCCTGGCTCATTCTACCCGGGAACTGCCCGACCCCATTTATCCCCGGCGTAAAATACGGAGCCAGAAATGCCAGACCGGCGTTCCCGCCTGCAAACCCCCGCTCGCGGCTGAGGTGCGTGCCCCGGGGCTGCCCGGCCCCGCCGGTACCTGCCGCTTGTTCATGCGCCGCAGGTCCCCGAACAGATCCATGTCGGGCCCCGGCGGCTCCCCGGCGGCTCTCCGGCGGCTCCCCGGCGGCTCCCCGGCGGCTCTCCCCGGCGGCTCCCTGACGGCTCCCCGGCGGACAGACCCGCGCCCCAGCCGCGGCGCCGCGCCGGGTCCCGCGCTGCTCCCCGGGATCTGTAGTCTTCTTCCCCTCCCGCCTCGCTGACGCTCAGCGGGTCTCCTACCGCGTGAACTACAACTCCCAGCATGCACCGCGGCGAGGGGCCCTGAGGGCGAGCCCTCTCGCCTGCTGCCCTTGGAGATGCCTGAGCAGCTGGCTGTCCCAAGGGGCTCCCGGTGGGCGCTTAGACCCCCCCCCGAATGGCGGGACGAGCCGCGCGCCCCCGCGGAGCGCCGGAACGGCGGCGCCGCCTCCCGGGGACAGCGCTTTGGGTCAGGCGTCTGCCGCGGGCACCCCTGGGGCCGCCGCGGCGTGTGCGTAGCTCATTGGCGGGACGGGGGCTGCGCCGGGCGGGCGGCAGGGGGCGCTGTGAGGGGACAGCGAGGTGTGAGGGGAGAGCCGCGTGAGGGCAGAGCGGGGTGTGAGGGCAGAGCGGGGTGTGAGGGCAGAGCGGGGTGTGAGGGGAGAGCCGCGTGAGGGCAGAGCGGGGTGTGAGGGCAGAGCAGTGTGAGGGGAGAGCGAGGTGTGAGGGGAGAGCGGGGTGTGAGGGGAGCGCAGTGTGAGGGCAGAGCAGTGTGAGGGGAGAGCGGGGTGTGAGGGGAGAGCAGTGTGAGGGGAGAGCGAGGTGTGAGGGGAGAGCGAGGTGTGAGGGGAGAGCGAGGTGTGAGGGGAGAGCGAGGTGTGAGGGGAGCGCAGTGTGAGGGCAGAGCAGTGTGAGGGGAGAGCGAGGTGTGAGGGGAGCGCAGTGTGAGGGGAGTGCAGTGTGAGGGCAGAGCAGTGTGAGGGGAGTGCAGTGTGAGGGGAGAGCGAGGTGTGAGGGGAGCGCAGTGTGAGGGGAGTGCAGTGTGAGGGCAGAGCAGTGTGAGGGGAGCGCAGTGTGAGGGCAGAGCAGTGTGAGGGGAGCGCAGTGTGAGTACAGAGCAGTGTGAGGGGAGCGGCCCCGGCGGACTGTGAGGGGACAGCGAGGTGTGAGGGTGGAGCGGCCCCGCCGTGGTTCCTTGCCAAGCCCTCCAGCCCGCAGTGGGAGCGGGCGCAGTACCCGCAGCGGGCCGTGCCTCGGAAGCCCGCAGGCTGGCACACCGCAGTCTCCTCCTCACCAGCTGTGAGCAGAGCCACCTCGTCTCAGCAGCCAGTGGTACCCTCAGTGTTTTTTCAAGGGCCGCTACAGAGATGAGCACAGAGGCCCAGAAAAGCCCCAGCTGTGAGTGGCAGCCTCTCAGTGCTCTCTGCCAGCCTGGCTGCCCTCAGGATGGGCCAGGACTGCTCCGAGTGGGGCTGGCAGGGTGTCAGGCCCCTCGGGCAGCGCAGAAAGACTTCACACCCATTTCCAGTTCGGCATCTGAATGATTGCATGAGTCTGGAGCAGCAACTACCACATGGGTACAGGTCCTTGCCCAGAGCCTGATTTCCTGTGAATTAAATGAACCAAACCCAATGAGGTTTTCACCAAGTTCAGAATTAGCCCCTGAAGACTGGGGATGACAATGGGAGAACAAAGAACACAAGGAAATGCTGCTAAGATCAGTGGAAGGAAACAGTTTGTGGAGGACTGGAAAGGTGTTTCTGTCATTTGCCAGAAACTGAGCGAGACTTTCTGTTGGCAAACCGTTGGACAAGAGGGACTAGGACTGACTAAGAGAGGCAGAAGTGGCATTGGATCACAGAGGAAGGTGTAATGTTCTCAGGAAAGGACAGAAATGGCACATGGATATTGGAAAGAAAGCTCCAAGGACACTAGCTAGTGTCGTGCTTCTTCAGTGATGTGTCAAGGCCTTTTGCAAAGTGTACAGAGGTGTCCATGGAAGAGAGAAAAGGAATGAGAAAGGTAACAGTTCAGTGAAGCTTTAGGGAAGGTCTAAATACCTGTGGGTTACCCTGATGAATAAACTGTTGTTTGTATCGGTGGTGTTGTTAGATGCACACTGTGATGATGATTTAAGATCCATGCCCACTTTGGAGCCTGTAAACCTTGCCAGTGCTTGGAAAATCCTGCTTTTCCATGGCTGGCTGCTCCCATAAACACATTTCCCATGTGTGTGATACCTATACAACTGGGAAGTAATGATCACAAACCTGCTAATTAAAGCATATGACACATAAGCTACCCACTGTCTAATTACATTTCTCTCCCAGAAAGCAAAAAAAGAGGCCAAATTCTCATTCACTGCAGAAATAGCTGTACCTGGAATACACCTAAAAACATTTGAACATACCAGTAATTTACACTAGGACTCAGACCAGTAACTCATAGTCAATCAGCAACAATCTGACAAAGACACCTTTGTTAAATTTACTTGCTATTGGAAGGAAATCTTCATGTTATTTCTTGTGGCTATAGCTGGACATTTCACCTACATTAATACAAAAAACCCCACAACAAACCAGCTTTTGTTCCAAAACACACTGTGTCACCCCCAAATTGCTACTGAAATAGATTTAACACTTACTCTGCATTTATGATGTGTTTACATTTCACAGTAAATATTTGGCACTTGTCTATTACCCGCTTCTCCCAAGCAAGCTTGTGTTTTGTGCAAGGTTATTTTGCAGTGGTTGCCGTGTTTGCAATAGCTCAGGTTGGCTGACATTGTCCTCTAATAAACTTTTTCAGACTTTTCCTGGTCCAACACGTGAGCTGGCAGCGCCGTGATGTGTGACCTTGCTGTGACACCCTCAGGTACTGCTCTGGCTGGGGCTGGGACACACAAATGGCTGTGAGAGGCAAACGATCTCGGAGTGTTATTTGTGGGCAGTGCTTTAATTTACAAAACGGGCAGGAAATGACTCTTGCCTATTGTGAAGTAGGAATGTATCAATTTTGGAGCTAAAAGACGAGCCACTCGGCAGGGAAAGGGCAGGACTGAGAGAAAGTAAATGACAACGACTGGGCGGTGTTAGAACGGTTCCTTCAGTCATTCCTGATGGAGAGAATTAAAAGTGGATGTTCAGGTGATAGAATCTAATTCTGTGACAAGTAGAGGGAAGAGGCAGAGCTGACATTTGGAGAATTTAGAGAGGCAAGAAGGCAGCTTTCTGTTGAGACCCAGTAGGATTGAAGCTGCTTATTTTTTTGTTCACAGAGGTGGGACATTCTTTTGTCCAAGGCACGAACCCACACTTAATTCTGAGACCACAGTATCTCTGCCTCTCAGTTGGATTGTGATTGGTGTTTGATAGCTCTGAAAACACTTGGACTCCCCCATTTTTCATGGGGAGGCAAGGGAAACATGTTAGGAAGCTGCTTTTCTTCCTTTTCCACAGGTGCTAGGAATCACCTACACTTCTGTTGGTGGCTTTGTTATTTTACCAGCTGCATGATTTAGATTATTAAAGGTTACATGTATTTTGAAATCTTCCCATACTCTGGATGTTTGACTTCAATATTTGTACAGTAGATCTTTTGGAGCTCTGCAGCTAGAAAATTATGCTAGTTTTTTAGTACACAGAAAAAATGTAGCTCTTGGCATTCTGGCAGATTTGCCAGACCTTTGCAAACAGCCTGTACATAGAATATTGAATTACAGCTCTTTGATTTCTAAGAGATTGGTCATGGGCACATAACTGGCACCTTGCCCCTGGGCTGAAAAGTGTGGGTTAATAGGGAGAGCCATAGCAGTCCTTTTGCAGCCCCTCAGCAAAGCACAGCAGCAGCACAGTGACTGCCTTCCCTGGTGAGCACTCTTTGTGTCCAAATCCATTGGGAGCTCTTCTGCCTCCCCTTCCTGTTGCTCACCAGGCTGTTAGAGCAGCCCGTGGTGCACACAGGGCTCTCCAAAAGCAATGGGATGCCACTTGCACCAATAGCACACTATTCTGGATTTCATTGCATTTTTGTAATGGTACAAAGAATATTTTCTTCCTGCACACCCCTGGATTTGCACCCCCCTTGGAGGCCACTGCTTTGGAGCATGTGTGGCTTGTCTCGTGTCACTTCTCTCATGACTCTTGTCCTCTGCCCTGGGAGCTGGCAAGGACCTGTTCACAGGCACGGCTGGCAACCCTGGGGCGCTTTGCATGCTCGTGTTTTTAAGTGTATGAGTCAACAGCTTTAGTCTGCTCTGCAACCCAGTGTCTGGAGAGATAATTGGATTTCAGCTGAGTTGGATCTGTTTCAGGGAATGGTTTATTTGTGAAAATAATGTATTTTTCTGGAGGAAAAGGGGAAGGAGAGGGAGGGATCCAGCTATCCGAACATTCAGTTGAATTTAGCAAATAATGTTCTCTTTTCCTTCCCCTCCCACCATGGAACAGAAAAAAAAAATCAGAAACAACCTGACAAAATGTTTAGGCTTTCCCAAGTGAAAAAAAAACAACTTTAATTTTTAAAACTGCCCAAGAATAAATGAGAGAAAGGCAAAAAGGTTTTAAAAAAATTCTAAAAAAAAGGAAATATTTAACCCTTACTCAAGAACAATCTCTTAGTAGACTAAAAATGCTTGTAATGTGTTAGGTTTTGCTTTGTGCTGGGGAAGGGGAATAATGATATTCACTAACTATTTGCTATTTGCTTAACCTGCGCTGCAGAGCTGAGGCTAAAACACTGCCTAGGAAAACACCAGAGGAATGATCTGTGTGATGGCACTTGAAGGCCTCTGTCACAGACCATGTAAGACAATCTGGTCACTGAGTCCAGTGGAGTCCAGTGTGGCCTCTGGCTGTAGAGTCTCCTGTTTGATGCTCGTGCCCTGACTTTCCCGAGCCTTTGGAAAGGGCTTGGCATGTCGTGAATGGGGCACATGGCGTGCGGGAACCAGCTCAGGGAGGTGAAGCAGTGCTGGAGCAGCTCCACGAGGGGACATTTCTGCACAGAAAGGGCTGGGCTCATTTTGCCAGGAGCTACAGTATGTAAATGTAATGACCAAGGGATATTTTGAGACCGTAGCTCCTCCACCCCGATTGCATTCAGGGCCTGCTCTCCAT